CCCCAAAACCCCAAAACCCCAAAACCCCAAAACCCCAAAACCCCAAAACCCCTATTCGAACATTCAAATTTGAATAATAAATTAATAAATATGTTTGCATATCTGACTAAGAAGGTAAGAATACCGCTGGTGAATAGGCTTCGCATATGTTTTCATTCCTATAGTCACCTTGACAATTAGGTCTCTTTGATCTAGCTCCGATGAAGACCAATGATAAATTTTTTAATTTAGTTCAGAAATTATAGACTTGCTTCTGGTCGTATTGGTTCGAAGAAGGGTTTGAAAATCTTATAGTTGCCTCAGGAGAAGAATGCTCTTTGAATATAAACATTATTCTCAAAGAGTAGCCAATATTTTATTTAAAATTACTAGCAATGTGAAGTGATTTATCTATAAAGAAGAAGATATTGTTTCATCTAAATTTCATGAGTCTTTTCTAACTAGAACTCTTCTAGATCGGTATGCCGAATAGCACGAAGCTCAAAGCAATTGGGTGGAACCAAGAAAAGGGCTGGATCTCGTGCGGAGGTGAAAACAATTTGCTCAAAGTCATAAAGCTGGAGTCAGGAAAAGGAGAAGGAGGAGGTAATCTCTCTATGAACCAAACTCTCAGTGGTCATAGTGGCACTGTCGATCTAGTCTGATGGAACGAAAACTACCAGAAGCTTACTACTAGTGACGAGAAGGGACTTATTATTGTGTGGTGTGTACATAAGGGTCAATGGTACGAGGAAATGATCAATAATCGTAATAAATCTATTGTGAAAGATATGAAGTGGACCTCAAATGGAGAGAAAATCTGTATTATCTATGAAGACGGTGCTGTTATCGTTGGATCCGTGGAGGGTAATAGGCTTTGGGGTAAGGAACTAGATCATGAAATATCGAAAATTGAATGGTCACCAGACTGTAAACTTATTCTTTTTGGAACTCCCAATGGTGATGTTGTCTGTCATGACTATGTTGGAAATTTCTTATTCAACATTAAGCTATTTTGATTCGAGTCTGGCAGTCCTCAGTCAGGCCTTGCTGATATTCAATGGTTTGAAAGCAGCAAAGTTGGATACTCATATGGACATATTGATAAGAAGGGAGGAGCTCTTTGCTTAGCATACGAATCAGGGGAAATTCAATTGATGAGAAATGAGCAAGATGATTATCCAATCGCGTTCCATACTGGGCTTCAGATTGTCTGAGCTAGATGGAACACTAACGGTAATGTCCTAGCTGTGTCAGGAATCTTGCAAGATGGTTATGAAAAGAAAGCAGTAGTCAACTTTTATAATAATGTTGGAGATCACTTGAGAACGCTCAGAGTTCCTTCATCCTCAGGAGTTATTGAGTGTATTAGTTGGGAAGGATTTGGTCTTAGAATGAGTCTTGCGGTTGATTCTGCTATTATTTTTGCGAATATTCAGCCAAACTATCTTTGGTCTTATTTCAACAATACATTAGTATTTGCTTTTCAAAAGCCTGATAAAAATGATCTCACAATCGTATTCTGGGACTCTGTAGTTAATGAAAAGCATGTCAGGACTATGAAAGGACTCCAACATGTCTGTGCAGCAGGAGAATACTGTGTCCTCGTTTCAGAAATCGAAGAGTCAAAAGGAGAATATATCCTCGTGCTATCAAACGCCGTCGGTTGTCCAGTCGACTCCAAAACAATCAACATCAGCCCGAAGTATGTTGCGATGAACACGACTCATGTGATTGTTTGCTCTGACGACACTGTGTATTACTGGCAGTACAGATCTCAGTATTCTCAAGGAGTGTCGCTCGAAAGTGAGAAAAAGAAAAGAGCTGGTAAAGAAAGCGCTTTCCACATTGATGAGATCCCGAACCCAAACACCATCTACGACAAGTCTCGCTGGAAAGGCTTCAGTCAAGACGTCCAAGACCCAATTTGATCAGTTGCTGCTGGCAAAGATGGCTTCATTGTTGGAAGAGCCAGTGGCCAAGTGTACCAATACGCATTGCCTTACATCCAGAGAAACGAAAACAAGTTCGTGCTGAAATGAAAACCTCAGACACTTTCTCTGAACTGTGACTGTACCAAGTTCGCAATTATCGACATCAACGGAGTTCTGACGTTCTTCGACATAGAAGAGTGTCCTCCAGGCACCAAAGTGCCAGGATACCACAAGCCAGAAGAAAAGAAAGAAGTCTGGTCTGTAGTGTGGAGTTCTGACAACCCTGACATGTGTGCCCTCATGGAGAAAAACAGAATGTTCGTCATGAGGAACTTCAAGCAAGAAGAGCCTATTCTGAGTTCAGGTTATCTGTGTCGCTTCTCTGACCTCGAAGTCAAAGCGGCGCTACTCGACGACATCTTGAAGGCCCCAGAAGACATCAAGAACATTGGAGACTTCATAGAGTCTTACGAGTGCAGGTCTTTGAGAGACACCAGAGACCATCTGACCACGATCAGTCTCAAAGACGCTGTTGAGTTCGTCGACCAGAACCCACATCCCCGCCTGTGGAAGCTGATTGCAGAGGCTGCACTCGAGAAGCTGGACTTCGCAGTTGCAGAGAAGGCCTTTGTCAAGATCGAAGACTACCACGGAATCAAGTTCTTGAAGGCCCTCAAGAAGATCGACGACAAGTACAAGCAGAAGGCCGAAATCTGAGCTTACTTCAACAAGTTCGACGAGGCCGAACAGATTTATAGGGAAATCGACCGGAAGGACTTGGCGCTGGAGCTGAGGATGAAGCTGGGAGACTGGTCCAAAGTTGTCACACTCATCGAGCAAGGAGTTGGGGATGATGATATCCTCAAGGAAGCTTATAACAGAATGGGTGAATTCTGTTCCGATAAACAGAGATGGAATAAGGCCGCATACTATTTCCAGCAAGCTAATAATTATGAAGCTCTTATTGATGTATATTACAGACTCGAACAGTTTAGTAACCTTGACAGGCTTATCGAGGATATCCCTCAAAATTCTGAATATCTGACTATGCTTGCTGAGAAAATGCAGTCAATCGGTTTGTGAGAAGAAGCAGTAAAAGTATATATTAAAGCAGGTGATGTTAAGAAAGCTATCGATTGTTGTGTATTATTGAATCAATGGAACCTTGCAGTTGAACTTGCTGAGCAACATAACTTCTTAGCTATTGAGCAACTTCTAGCAAGATATGCTACTCACTTGATTCAAAAAGATAAGAAAATGGAAGCAGTTGAATTATACAGAAAAGCTAATAAGAATACAGAATCTGCAAGACTTTTGGCAGAGATTGCTAGCAAGCTGCAAGCCCAAAGAGCTCCTCCACTCATGATCAAGAAGATCTATGTGCTTGCTGCATTTGAGATTGATTCGTATAAACAAAGAGTCTTTGATGCTTCTCTGACTCAAATAACAGGAGGTGGCAATACAGCTGAAGCTACTGCAAAGACATTGAATTCATTGATCACAACAGATATTAACACTAGTGCAGATAAGGCTCTCAGTAATCCTTGGAAGGGAGCTGAAGCCATTCATTTCTATTTGCTTTGACAGAGGCAATTATACCAAAAAGAGTACAAGAAGGCAATGAAGACTTCTATCAGATTAATGGATTATGAAAGAGAGATTGACACAAGAGAGGTTTACAGTCTTGTAGCTCTTTCATCTTACTACAATAAGTGCTACAGAGAATGCTCTAAAGCATTCGCTATTCTTGAGAGACTTCCAGATCTTAGCACTATTGAAAGAGAAAAGTTTGAAAATATTGCTCTTAGTCTTTTCTCAAGACATGCTCCTAAGGATGCTGCTCAGGTAAAGTTCCCATGTCCTAAAAAGAACTGTGATGCTCAAATTAGTGAATATGATACTGACTGCAAGAGATGCGGTAGCTTCTTCAGTGCATGTATTGCAAGTGGGCAGAGTATTTTAGCTAAAGAGTATTATACTTGTAAGACATGCAAGCACAAGGCTCTTCATAAAGAGCTAGTCTATCTCAATCTAAAGCATTGTCCTCTATGCCACGCCTTAGTTGTTAATCCTAAGTAAAGAATGAAGATCGATCTTGAAGAGCAAATTTAGACAAGTAATATACCCATAACGCACTTCAAGAAGTGAAATTCCAGAATAATTCAATAAGAAAATTTTTTCAGGGGTTTTGGGGTTTTGGGGTTTTGGGGTTTTGGGG